CAAATCCTGAATATTTACCATCCGCATGCCGTGATGGACGTATATGGCTGTGGTCCCCTATCTTTTACAATATTTTCAAATATTTTGCACTGTTTATAACGACTGTTTAAAGTTGATTTCAGTCAGCTGAAATTTTAATATTTATGAAAATTGGCAATATTCACAAAGTGTGTGTCACGTGATTAGCTCATGCTAGATCAACAAGATGTAAGTTACTGTCGAGCATCAATAACGATATATATGTCTGGAAATTCCAATATTCAATAATAATAATGATAATAAACTAATAATAATAATTTTACATGGATCGGAATTAGTCCCAATACACAAGAACATGGTCCTCTCAAACATTCAGCCAATGGGGAAACTAAAATGAATGAAAACGAAAAACAAAACAATTAAACAAAATTGAAATCTGCACTATATTTCAAAAATTTGTTTAAAACTACACAAGTACATGTGTATAAGATGGATAGATAATATTGCTCTAATCAATTACATGGCAACAAAAAAATGACAAATCACAATTTAAATGATATATACGCAATATAAATGGATATCAAACAACAAAGAGTACAACCAGGCAGATTTATTCTGCCGGTGCCTCATGAACAATTCTATTAAATAACATCCATTTAATTCTGATAAATATCACTCATTTGATTCATATAAATATCATCCATTTAATTCTTATAAATATCATCCATTTCATTCTTATAAATATCATCCATTTGATTCTTATAAATATCACCCATTTGATTCTAATAAATATCACCCATTTGATTCTAAGAAATATCATCCATTTGATTCGAATAAATATCATCCATTTGATTCTGATGAATATCATCCATTTGATTCTTATAGATATCATCCATTTAATTCTTATAAATGTCACCCATTTAATTCTTATAGATATCACCCATTTAATTCTTATAAATATCATCCATTTGATTCTTATAAATATCATCCATTTAATTCTTATAAATATCATCCATTTAATTCTTATAAATATCATCCATTTCATTCTTATAAATATCATCCATTTGATTCTAATAAATATCATCCATTTAATTCTTATAAATATCATCCATTTAATTCTTATAAATATCATCCATGTAATTCTTATAAATATCATCCATTTCATTCTGATAAATATCATCCATTTGATTCTAATAAATATCATCCATTTAATTCTTATAAATATCACCCATTTGATTCTTATAAATATCACTCATTTAATTCTAATAAATATCACCCATTTCATTCTTATAAAAATCATCCATTTGATTCTTATAAATATCATCCATTTGATTCTTATAAATATCATCCATTTCATTCTTATAAATATCATCCATGTGATTCTTATAAATATCACCCATTTAATTCTCATAAATATCATCCATTTCATTCTCATAAATATCATCCATTTGA